TCTATTACAGAAATAATAAAACAGCATGCCCAATTTATTTGGGTCTATACATGCTGATGCAGCTTTGAAATTTAAGTCAAAAATATGTTTAAAAAAATGCTTTGAATAGTTGCACTTCAGAATCACTGATGAGAGACAAATAATCCCTAGTGGCCTCCAATTTGAGGAATGTGGCAGATTTCTCCCTCAAGCAGTTCATTATGAATACTAACAATGCCTTCCCTTTTCAGGTTCCTAGCAGCAGAACAGGTGACCTGCAGGAAACCATTTTGCTGCATTTCTGCAACACAATTCTAAAACGCTGTGTTGGAGGGCTGTCTTCCCTGCTATGAAACCATCCATAACTCACTCGGCATTGACAGTGACATCACACTTGCACAATCTTTAGGAAGCCTCAAAAGGCATGCACTTTGCAACAGTTTCGTTTTCATAAAGTACTTCTGAGTTTCAGAAAGGCCCAGGGAAATCTCTCTGGAAGGTGGACACATTTAACAGCACACTCCCAGCTACTGAACACAGGCACATTACTCTATTTTTTTTTTTTAAAAGCTTCTGTGGAGGATGCTCTCTGCTGTAAATTGAGAGCAATTATGTGGAAGTCAGAAGTTGCACTGCAATAAATCAGTGCTGAAACTGCAGTCATAGCTCTTTAAAAAGAAATATATATAGCAGACTGATAATATCAAGAAAACTACACATGCTCTCATAATCCACTGTCGATGGGTGGAGATTCTACCAACCTCCTACTAACAAAGAAGAAATTAATGGATACAGGTCTCATTCATTCCACTGGAACTACCTGTTCAGTCAAGTGTCAGTGAATTGTCATGTCTCCCAGCAGTTACAAAGGTCTGGTCTTTCTACAAGTAATATCCTGAGCTTATGCTCCCATCTCCCCCGGAAAATAAAAATAATTGCAACCCCCGCTTCTTTCAACGCTTACAGGCTACCTGCTGTATTCTACATTATAACTATATCCACATACTGAACACATACAGATGCAGCTTAAGGTCTGAAATGCCTATTCAAAGAAACAACAGTTTACAACTGGCTTAAGAAAGAAGCACATGGAACCAAAGTCTTTTTCCTTTTTTTACCGTTATTTCCCAGTCCTGAACAGTATTTGCACATGAAACACTTAAACCTAGATCATAAACAAAATCATGCATGATAAAAAGATTGAAAGCATTATTGGAAGTGACTTGTTAACACTGTAAGCCTACAGATAATGCATCTCAGCAAGTTCAGCTATTATCTGGTCAATATTTCCCATTTGGCTTAATGGAACATGATGCATAGCCAAATGAGAGGCATTCTTTCTTCAACATCCTGAGTCAAGCAAGTATCCCAATATAAAAGAGCAAAACATTTCAGCAGAACAGGACATTTCAACAAAGCATATACCTCTTCACACAAATACAAGTGCTGCCGGAAGCAGTAATGACCTTTATATAGGTTACTTTGAAATCTGTTTCAGAACTTTTCTACCAATTCCCTCAAGACAAAATACGAAAGTACTTTAAAAAACAAAAAGAAATCTTACGGCTTGAAATGCAGTAAGCCAGCCTGCAGTTGATCCTCCTGAACAGTTGCTTGTTGATTGGCCAAAGTATAAGTGTAAAGAGTTGAATGAAGTTAATGATCAGTCCTGATGCTATAAATATGTAGCAGATCAGAAGGTGGCAAATGAATTGAGACTTCAGAAAGCCAACGATGTCCATGATTTGCTGAGAAAGCAAGAGGGTACCTTCAGACCCAAAATTCAGAAGACAACCTGCAAAACCAAGCAGTATCAGCAGTTACAAAGTGCATTTACTTCTATAAACGTACTGTTAATATAGACTTCCTGTTTTACACTTAAATACATTAAAATGAAAGTTAATTCTATTGTAGAAAAAGGCCCGATTACAATATTTGCAAAAGTAAGCATAGAAAGAGAATACCATATTTCTGAATCAATTTACATTCGGCTTTAGAAACAAATTTTCACATTTCAGTCCTAATTCTGCAAAACCCATGAGCATATGACTCCATTCCATGGACTACAATACTCCTCTATCAGGTCTTTATTGATAAGATATGAGCAAAAGAATCCACTTGTATTTTGATTTGAATTGTCTGTACTTCCTAAGACATATACTGTGGCCTCTGCTATCTTCAAGAGCAGCTCCAAAGTAAACACAAGCTTTAGAGCTTTTTGTTAGAAGTTGTGCCTTCTTCTACAGGCTATGCCAACCATGTTCCCCAACCAAGAGGTAGCAGTAGTTCCTTAATTCTAGCTTTATTGGCTTGTTCCCTTGTCAGATTCAAATATCAGTTGATTTTGGCAAGAGAATAAAAGCTTGCCTATGCACAATACACACAATTTGTTCAATTATTCCTTGACACTGTAATTCTGTCAGTTATACTCCATAAGCCCAGAAAGGAAACATCAATAACAGTACCAACCCATGACCCAGCAGTGTTTCCAGAAAAAATCAACTCTTAGGTTACTTAAGAAATGTTTGTATAATTTTGGAAAGGACCAGTCCAACCTTAGCAGCTGAGCATTCAGAGGAAGTGTCCTCTACCAAGTACTCTGGCCTACCAAATACCGTATTGACCTCCCCCCACCATCACTACCACCAATGCTAGCCTCATTTGTTAGGAGAAAAAATACGAAGACATGATCTCTCAGTAAACAACACCACAGTATTTTGAATACAGTTAAGCAGGAGGTGCTGCCATCCCATTCCATTCCTATACTGTTTCTCCCTCTGAGGTGTAGAAGAGTTTGCCCAGGGAAGAAGCCCTGAGACAGTGTTTTTGAATTTGTTATTGCCTATGACTGGCACACCGGCAGCTGTCAGCATCCCAGGGAATTAACTGATAAAAAAAACTTTATGCCTATCCTTTTAGTTTACATGAGACCCTATTATGTGAGGCACCGAGTCTAGATCGGTGTCCCGAAACATTTGTTTTACTGCCCTTGCTGACTATGCTTACCACAGCAAAGAGCACACACAAGAATTGCTGCAAAGCAATAGGAAGTTATTTAGCCAGGTTTTCAACCACAAGGAAAATGAAGAAAAATTTAAGAAAGAGAATCTGTATTGTTGTATAATTTATATAAAGAATTTATGGCAGTCCCAAGCCTGTTATTAGCAGACAAAATGTGCCCTTTGTGTATCACAGACTTTGTTCCCTTTATCTTGCTGTACTATTCAGTACCAAAGCAGACACCATCTGTAGCTCAGAATGGCAGAACGGGCCTCTGTTCATTGTAGTAACTACTGTCATGATACTTGCAAAAAGCTTTTCCAGCTTTAACCAACCATTGTAAAGATACGTTTCTGAGGGTGGCAGACAATTTATTAGCATGTGCTTTGACCAAAGACTGTTTTTGTTGAAGGCTAAGTAGAATGAGAAATGTTGTCTTGTAGGAACCATTACAATGATTCATGCCTCAGTCCCTCCATCACAGAACTCTGAAGATAGAGCCAAACACTAAAAAAAAAAAAAAGAAAAAAAACAGTGCAAACCCAAGTTTTGAGTAAGTTTACAGTGAAAGATACACGATTTCACTTCCCTAATTCAGACTACTGTACTTCACCAAGTAGCAGGATTAGATCACTTCTTTAAAACAGTCAGAATGGAAGCAACCAGTTACTTACAAGTAGATGGTTTAAAAGACTGTGCAGTGCCCAAAACCCTGATGACTGGGTTTATCTTACCATCCTTGGCTAAAACTGATCAAAAGTCTTTTGTGCTAGCTGGCCTGTTTAATTCCATCCCACAGAATCACTCTAATCTAATGTAATTCCCAGAGATAAAAAAAAACCCATAGGGACTGGATAAAAAAAAAAAAATCCATATATAAAATAAGATTAAAGCACTGTCTACTTACAGTGGAGACCTGGAAATTCACTATTTGATACAATCAACAGAAATCTACTGTAGTAAGCAGTTGATCGACAGACTTTGTGACAAGGAAGAGCTCACCAGAACATTAGTTCACCAATTCAGGTTTTTTTCATTGTAATAGTAACCAAACTGCATTAAAATGTTATGTTTATGTGAATCATTTACTTCATACTGAGTCTTTAAAACAAAACTTCACAGAATTAAAATAAACAAAGATGAGATGACCCTGATAAAACATAATTACTGTCTTACAATTTTATGAAGCCACAATGGAATGTCTGAAAGTAATTTATTCCTTGCTTTCATACCTCAGTCATCAAATTTCAATTCTGTAAAGCTTAAGACACGTTTTAAAGGCAAACTAAATCTACTTAAGCAGTACCACTGAAATGCATCTAACCTAACCTGCTTATAAAAGGAACAAGAAATTAGAGCCACTGCTTAAATTTTGCTTTTCTGAAAAGTAGCGAGACTAGAGAGATTAATTTTCTCTTCTGATTAAATGTAAACTGTATTCCCTACAAAATTTGCAACCCAAACATTGTATACAGAGTGCTAGCTAAGTGTTCTGTTTCTCAGGCATAAGCTCACTCTTAGAACTTTTTTTTTTTAATATGATACTTTTTGGACTGTTTTCATTACCCAAACTCCAAGAAATGCAGTTTATTCTTGGTACAAGCAACAAAAAAGTAGAAATTTATTTTCAAGAATCAATTCTGAGCTTATGAAAGAGGTCTAGAAGCTTGCTCTTCAAGAGTTCATAGGAACTTCTTCCACTTGCTCTTTGTCTTACTAAAGTTCCTCATGGGTAACATCAACGTAACACCAGTTTAAGTGATAAAGAATCACGTCTTTAATTCTTAATCCATGATGCCGGTTTAATAAATTACACTGATTTCCTTATAGATAATGACTGAAAATTACAGCAATCTTTTGAAAACAAAAGGGCCAATCAATGCATTTTCTCAGAAGCTATTAAGATCGGAGAGCTGCCAAGAAGCTCTCTTCTATCAAACACCCTTTAAATGAATTAGGAGAAAATGGCCAGCCAGAGCATCAAAAACAGATAGGGACATTCTTTAATAACAGTTTTCCTTTGGATATAGAACAAAAAACTCAAACCTCAAATGTCTGTCTAGGGAGCAAGTCAACAAGCATCTATTCATGTGACTAAGAGATCACAGGATCAGGTTTAAAAGCAAACTCCATGACTATTCATTCTACCACTTTCACCCCCCAGGTTTCATTCTTCAGCAAGATCCACCATGATTTCTACTTCCAACTCCTCTCAGCATTTCCTTCTGCTTAGAAAAACTGACCAGGAGGACATAGAAGAAAGGGCAATGTTACACCAGTGAAATGCAAGGTGAACACCTCTCTTCTGGCAAAGGCTGCAGCCAATTAACAATGCTATTTCATACTTCAAAGACTGTAAGAGTTGAGACTACAACTAGTGATCTCGTAAAGAACACAACTGTTTGCACTTTTATAAAAAGCACAAGAATGAAGCAAAGAACTCTCACCCACCTTGTCCAAAGTTTATGTAGTAGAGTCCTTGGAGTGTGGAAAGCAACATGGTACCGATTTGACAGCATCTGGACTAAGCTAATATTGTCCATACTTACAAATAGATGCAAGACAGCACTATACCCGGTTATTTTCAGAACAGCATGTTTCGTGCCTATGCAAAGGTTTTCATTTATATCTACTCTTTGATAAAGGCCTTAAATGCTTTGCTGCAAGTTAAGAACAACCAAGCATATGATGATGATGATGCCCATTCTTGCGTTTTCTCATCCAAACCAGATTCTCGGATGGATGAGTTACAGAGACCAGGACTATGAAAATACACTCAGGTCAGATTATAGCAATTTCAGTAGTGCCTCTAAGTGAATTTCAGTTGCCATCAGAACAGCACAGATAGCAGCACTGTATGCCATATCAGAGTCCATTTTAACAATGCTTCTGTATATGAAATATATATGCAAGGCAAGTCACAGGAAGCCCTTGTGCTCTTTTCTGTCAGTGAGCATCAAAAGTTAGCAAAAGTGAAGTTGTGTCCATGTATGTATTTGCCTTCAAGGAGAATATATCTGTACATGGCACACAAAAAAAACCCAAGTCTGGATGAAGAATTATCCATCTATTTGCCTCATGCTTAATTAGGGTTTGAATCACTTCCCACCTCCCCCAAAGGCAACTACTAGAGCATTACCTCCTGGTGTTGGGTTTACGTGGCAAGGTTTTGGTAGTGGGGGGAGCTGCAGGGATAGCTTCTTTGAGAAGACACCAGGAGCTGCCCCCAACGTCAGACAGAGCCAGTGCCAGCCAATTCCAGAAAGGACTCACCGCAGGCCAAAGCTGAACCTGTCAGCGATGCTGCTGGCACCTCTGTGATAACACATTTACGAATGGGTAAAAAATGCTGCACAGAAGACATGAGTGAGGAATGAGAAAAACGTGAGAGAAACAGCCCTACAGACACCAAGGTCAGTGAAGAAGGAGGGGGAGGATGTACTCCAGGCACCGGAGCAGATACTCTCCTGCAGCCCGTGGTGAAGACCATGGTGAAGTAGGTTGTCCCACCACAGCCCATGGAGGTGAGGCCACTCAGGACAGGTTTTCTGGCAGGAACTGCAGCCCATGGGGCACCCAGGCTGGAGCAGTCTGTTCCTGAAGGACCATAACCTGTGGGAGGAACCCCAGCAGGAGCAGGGGAACAGCAAAAGGAAGAAGGAGCAGCAGAGAGGAACCGTTCCCATTCCCCTGCACTGCCACACTGGGGTGTGGCAGAGGGGAGGTAGAAGAGTCAGGAGCCAAGCTGAGCCTGGGAAGAAGAAAGGGCTTGGAGGGAAAGTAGTTTTA